TTGCTGCTCTTGGCAGTGCCTTATGCTACTCACTGGTAAGTATTATTAAGGCCAATTCTTAGCAATTTAGATTTTCAAGGGATATTTTATGGCTAATGCCCAAGAATTAGAAAATCCCTAAATGATGCAATGACTCTGCTGTTAAGCTGAAGAATAGAATAGAATAGGATAGGATAGGATAGGATAGGATAGGATAGGATAGAATAGAATAGAATAGAATAGAATAGAATAGAATAGAATAGAATAGAATAGAATAGAATAGTTCTGTAGGAAGGGACCCTCAAAGATCACGTAGTCCTACTACCTGACTTAAGGGCTGACCAAAAGTTAAAGCATATAAATGAAGGCATTATCCAAATGCCTTTTGAACACTGACAGGCATGGGACATCAATCACCTCTCTAGGAAGACTTTTCCAGTGTGTTGACTGAGATATGTTCTATTCTTTGAGTAACTTAAGAGCAATTCATCTATGCGACTGTCTGATTCCTCTGGAGCATGCTTCTTCTACAGTAGGGGTAAGTCTCACTAAAAACACAGGGAAAGTTAAAAAGAGGGCTGGTTGGAGTGTGCAACAATATTGGTGTGGCCTGTCATTGCTGGAGCTGTGCAGTTGCTGTAAACACACTGGGAAGCACTGAACTTTTGGAGGGCCAGATATATTTCCAGATTACTTGGTTTAGATGTGGGGACAGGGAGAGGACTCTCACAGATGCCACCTTGTTGGGATGAAGGAGATACTGCTACTCTCTTTTTGATGGAGAGCTGTGGGAAGGAGAGGGGGCAGTGTAGCAGCCCTACTTTCCTTGTGTGTGGGACTAGAAGAACAGGAAACAGTCCTGATCTGCTCATAAAGCTCAGGGACTTTTCAGGGACATTTAACAGTACTGTGAAGAACACATGATTCATCTTGGGCCTGGTCAAGTGTCTTGGCATTTATTTGCCAGGCTTTTGCTTGCTGTTTCTATTGCACAGTCTTATTGCTTGTGATTGCATATGCAGGCATTTACCTTCATGCAAGTTGCACATTTACACCTGCAGGTCAGTGGAGGTCAGTTTAACAACTGCTTCTCTTCAAATGTAGGATAGATACTTTACCAGCTCATACAGATCTTTGACTTAGTTTATATTCTGCCTTTGACTTTTTGCTTAACTTCCTAATTGTCATGTATATTTTCTACAGGCACTGAACTCTCCTTATAAACATTGCTCTTCATTTCTGAGCTCACTTATAGAGTCTCTCCTGACCAGATATAATTTAAAGGGTGGAGATGAGGAAGAATCATTCACTTGGAACAAAAATTTCAGACAACTAATAAAAAAGAGAAGATTCTCATTTAGTGTAATTTACAGTGCTTTAATCGACAAAAATGGAACCATGCCAGTTTTCACCAGCTGAAAATCAGACCTATTTTATCAGATTACATGCTGTTGCCAGCTACTAGGTTTAGGGCTATCAGTATTTAGACATCTATACAGACCTTTTTGCAGTCTATGTGTTTAGTTTTGTTTATTGTTTTCTTTCTGCATGCACAGAGCTTGCAAGATTACAGACAGCACTCAGGAAAAAAATGTTGTTAAGAAGTAAAGTCAGAATTTAAAAAAGGTCAGTGTTAGTCTTATTAAATTCCTGCTGAAACCAACAAGACTGTAGGTAGCAGAAGAAGAAAGTTGGTGGCAATTGCAACATGGATGATACCTCTTCACTGCTCTGGAACATGGTGCCTTGTGGGTTAAGCATATAAACAGTATAAACACAATATAAAGATGACCAAAACCACTTACAAGTGCTTTGGAGATGGTTTGGGAGTGTACATGGTGCACAGTATCTGTCTATTGATAAGAGATGCTTCTCACTCCTACACAGTCAGATCCAGGATAGCTCAGTGATTATGGCACTGCCTTCCCTAGCCCTTTTATTTAAGGACAGCTTATTTTAATTCTTGTCTCTTTCAAACCTGAGGTGTATAAGACTTTCCTTCAAAAAGATATATATATATATTTTAACCAATAAAATATTAACAATTTTATTTTCATCCTAGCTCTGCAAAGATTTATATAGTGGCACAATAGAAAGCTGAATAGCTGCAATGGAATGCAGGAACTGGAGTGAGAGGTTGAGAATGGCGATCTCGTAAATTGGTTCTCTCATGGAAGAAAATGTCACATGCCTGGTGTGTGTGGCACTAACAGAAAGGCAGTGGTCATGGCTATTACCTTTTAATTCATATCCATCCTGCCCCCTGGTAGCTTTCAAGGCGATTAATGGGGACTACTAAGTGCAGAGTACTCAGGATGACAGGTTTTCTACTGCTTAAAAGCCTGAGAATGAGGCAGCCTGGTCTTCAGAACTGTGTCTAGAATGTTCTTCTTCCAAGTACATCATCAATAATTTTCAAGAGTTTTAGAGATGCATAGGAGAAAAGCTGGGAGTGCATTAGAAAGACATATTTTTGGTGGTGAATTGTCAAAGATTACAGGGTTCCTGGCATATAAAATACCAGAATTTTAGTAATAGTTATGCATGCCTCTGCTTTTGTGCAATCATGCATTTGTTAGTAGAACTATACTCATTAGAAGTAACACATTATACTAATTTTGACCTGGTGGTAAATTAAGAATCATGATTTTGTTGATTTCTTTGAATTGGCTCAACAAGTATTAACATATCAAAATATATGCCTTTGGAGGCTTGAATTATTTATTCCATAGTGTTCAGAATGTCTGAAAAGCAATTTTCTTTTGGTTTTGGAGATGTGTGACTGGCCCCATGAGTGATGTGGTATGTGCTCATCTCTGATTGTGTTAGCATTTTAATTGCCTATTTGATCTGATGCTAGCCTTGATTTTTGATGAAGTCTCAATGATAGTATCAAGCCCCTTCCCACTGAACATTCATCCCTACAAAAGTTCATTTATGTGAAAGCTTGTGAATAGAGAGGTATGACCCAGACTTTTACAGTTATTTGGGCTGATGGTTGATAAATGCTCATGTACTTTGATAAGCTTTAGTCACAATTGGACTGGAAACTTCAAATCAACTGTCTTCCAGCAAATAAATTCAGGTATGAATTCAGTATGAAAGTGACTTCAGTAGAAAGCCACCAATTGGATATCTGTGGTACCGTATATATCCATTTCCTCTGCTGATCAGCTAGAAACTCTACTGAAGAGATGTGTTATGCACTTTATTTTGAAAATCGAGAAATGATTTATTTTCCAAATGCATTAGTTGCATGCCCTATTAAATTTAAGCTGGAAGATGAGCCAAGCAGAAGCAAGCAACATCAACAAAATTGTTCTGTGCCAAAAAGGGCAGTGAACTGCCAAGCCTAAGGACAAGCATGACAACCATGTAGCTTAAAGAGAGGCTTTGCATGGGGTGGATTATGAAGTTCAGCCAGAGTTTTGCTCCAGCAGAAGGTAACTGGGGAGAACAGTAGGGTGATGGGCAGCACTGGACAGGGAAGTTAATGTCTGGCTACTGACTGCTTCCCAGAGAAGAGGAGAAAATGTATAAAAGTTCATATACAGGTCTGTGGGTTTGTGGTGCCTCAGTAAACTCAGAGCGATGTAGATATGGACAGTGCTAACTAAAAGCAGATGTACAGGGAAGGTTCATGTAAGTTTGTCTTATTCACTACAGGCTCATCAACTTGCCCAGCTTGCTCTGCTACTGTCTCTTGTGGAGGGTTAACTATGGTGCACAACAACTATGTTCTTCCAGAGACTTCCATGCTCATATTGCATGGAGAACAGAGAAGATGTAACTGTGGTGACTTGTGACTGCAGCTACTGATGTGCTTCATGGGAACTTTGACAACATTGCCTCCCTGCTTCTCTTTCTGATATGTCTGCCCGCAGAGCCAAAACACTACTGTCTTAAAAATAATAGATGCTCTTTTTGAATTTCTAAAGAAATAAGTGAACTGATTCTGTTCAGACAGTGCTTCTCTCTGGAAAAAAATAATTTTCATTAAACATGCTTGAAATGTTTACTTGATTGTAATCTTTTGCTAGTGGAATAAAAAATTTGTTCTCAACCCGGCACAGAATTTCTAAAATCCCTCTAAAATGATATGCTTGGAAAAACAGCAAAAGGAAATAACTCTTGGGGAAACATTTCAAGTTTCTTACCAAACAATTTAAAATCTAAATCAAAAGCTGCTGCTCTACTGATTATATTAAGGCTGATATTGATTATCTACTTACAAAGAAACAAATTGCTTGAGTATGGAGAGTCCATATGTAGATACGTGCCCATTTCAATGCTTTAAATAAGATACCTTACTGGTGCTATCAACTAAAAATTATAAACAGATATAAACAATAGACGGACAGCCCATCTTGCCTAATAAGTGCTCTACACCAACTATATGCTTTTCTTAGTGCCTGACAATAGCCACCTCACAGATATGTTGAGATATATAGCATTAATGTATATTCAATGGATAAAAAAAAAAATCTGTAGTTTTATTTTGGGGGCTGCACTTCCAAATAAATTATTGATTTATGCATGACTTGATCTTACTCTCATGGAAGACAATGGCAAAGCTCTTATTAACCTTAGTGCTGAAGGATTAAGTTGTTTCCTTTTATAACTTCCAAGCATTTTGATAAGAGTAATTGATCAATTCTCCCAACACCATGTGTGGCAGTTGTTAATCTTGATTATTACAGATGACTGCACTGAGGTGAAGCACTGAGTAGGTATTGAAGATCAGCAGTGTTCCACTGTTGTCCTCTGATCTGATCGTCAAGAAGTACTCTCTCCCTCACTCAGCAAGAGGTTTTGAAAGACATCATGCAAGTTTGGATCAACAAAATATTGTGAAATAAGCATATTTTAGCTTACATGTATGCACTATAGAAAGATATGTTCAGTGTGCAGGCTCACTGGATGTGTGATAGTTGAACAATTTACACCTGCTTTGTTTAACCCATGACTGCCTTTCAATCCACGGATGTTATTTAGCCAACCCTCTCCCTCCAATAACTTACAACTTTCAATTTCTAGTGTGCAATTTTGTTCGTCCAGAGGATATCTGCGTAGATCCATCATGCAAGCAGCTGTTGTTGTGATCCTGCAAGAGGAGGGTGAAAAAAATCAGGAAATTTGAAACCATATTTGACTTGTTTGAGAGGTAATTATTTCTGTAGCAGTTTTTCTTATTTGTTTAAATACTGAATGGTGGTGCACAAAGAATGTTGGCATATAAAATGGTTTGTAACTCATGAATAAATAAGTTCTACAGCACAATATACTGGTTACAGTATGAAGCATAGAAGGATATGCTGAACAGAGCAGAATTTTGACTGAAAACTTTACAGGCAAAAGTGTGGAGTCTCTTGAAGAATATTTCTTGAGATTTCTCTTTGGACATCTCATTTTCAATGTTCTCAGTTCAACATCTTCTAATTGGTTTGCATAATTTTTTTGATGTAACTAATATTGACATACCTCTCTTTTTTCATTTTTTTGTCATCTGCATTTTAAAATTTGTCTAATATGTATGCATTCATGCTGTGGAAGTACTAGTAATATCTGAATCTTTTTTATGGTTTCATAATTAGTTTATCATGATAATAATTGAACATAACCTCATAAAACGTCAGAATGACATCAAATACTTATGAAATGTAATATTGTCATGTGGTTAATTAAGAAAGTTACTTGCAGTAGTGCTTTCAAACTCACAGAAGTGAGTTGGCATCTGCAGTTGCCTTTTTTGTGTTTGTGTGACAGAAGGGTTCTTACATTCTTATAAAACTTCTGAAATTGTAAATGGTCAAACTTGGCTTGGAATTTCATTGGCATTTCTCTCTTTTTCTCTAAGAATTCCTACCTAAGACATGCCTTTTTTCTTGATCTAGATATGGTCCTGTTTCATGGTACTTCATACCACAGGATCATATCTGGAATTTTTACTTTTGATGTGCTGGAAGTCAAGCACGCGTAAGCGTGCTTGTAAATGCTATATGGGAATGATGATTTGTGCTGTCACAAAACTAATAAAAATAAAAGGAAAAAAGAAAACCCACATGTTTCTTTACTGTGACACATTTCAAATTTCCTAAATCTGCAAAATCCATCTACCTACCTGAATTGTCTAGGAAATGATGTGACAGAGAAACCAGTCCATGAAACTACTGCATAAGTCTGTGTAAAATACCTTATTTCTGCTTTTCCTGTGAGGTTTATCTTTGCTTCCTGTTGCACATTGAATTGTTTTGCATATTTCTAAATGGGTTTTGCATTTGTCATAGAAAATGTTGAAGACTTCAAGAGAGGTAGGACATCATTTAGTTTAGTGTTTTTCCAAATATGCCTTACTGACAGACACTGAGAAGACACGCAGTAATTATTTGTCAGACTCCTACTTAGTAAGGATTAAGATCATACATATCTATATTCTAACATTAGTCACAGTTAAATGATTTTTAATGAAGGTTTCAGAGGGCAATGTTTTGTTCCAATAAATCAGTTTCTAATATAATTTAGTTCACCAGATTCATTTATCTTCAACCAGATTTATTTAAGTGTTTACAGAAGTAGAAGTTGAGATAGTGCTTCCTAGACCACAGGGTTAGAGTGGCCAACTATTTCTTAATGGCCAGTCTGTCTGTACTCCTGACTTCTGCAGCTTTGGATATTCTACATATGATATTTAAGCAGTAGCAATCAGTTATTCTTAATAACATCAAGGATTTTTTTGTTGACACATGGTTCAATAATAAATAATACACTTGTAGTATAACTGATATTTAAATCCTCCACACACACATATATTTTTTTTTCTGATGTAATTCTGGTAAGTCTTTGTTCAAAAACATTGTCTTCTCACTGTGCATAGTTTTTCAGTTGGCTTGGTCTCTCTGACTACTGTAATTCAAGAACAAAAATAAATGTTTGTATTACTAAGACGCTTCACTGTTAATTGAAGGTGCAGTCTGGAAGTGAATACTTGGATTATGCAGAAGAGAGATAATAAACTATTAGTACTGGTTTCTTGCAGCAGAAAGTAATCCAAACCTGCCTAATCTGTCTCTTAGTAATTTCTCATCCTTCATTCTTGTTAAATCACTCCTTGTTTTTATACTCTAAGAAAAGGTTAAACAGAAGCACTCTATGCTCTCCATTTCCCTCAGGTCTGTTTCACATTCCCTGTAGCACCTGTAAGGCAGTGCACTCCGTATGGGTCAGTCTGCCTGGGGAAAGGGTCCCTAAAGGTGGTGGTGGGGAGCAGCTTTCCTTCTCATGGCTCTTCTACCTCTTAGCTCTCTGGTGCCATAGCAAGCAGTTGTTTCTAGATGAAGAGGGGAGTGACAGCATTTTAGCTGAAGTTTGCAGAGATGAAAGCCATGCAGTGCAAGGTGGGAAGGAAAATTGGAAATCCTTGTTAAGCTGGGGAAGGCTGAAAGCTCATGACTTCCCTCTTGACTTCTGGACCTGCAGCTTTGGACATGGTACTGGGGATGACGAGTGGCATCTGTCCAGGGATTCATCAGAACCTGAACCTAGTGCCTATGTGGATTGGAAAAGGCAGGTTGTAGTTTTTGGAAGCTCCCCCCAAAGTGGAGAAACCTGCCAGCTCAATGTGGTGTCTCCTAAAGCTGAAGGTGCTTAACCCTTATTGGGAATCTCCGGCTTCCTTGACAAGAGCTACTTGTGATTGCAGTAGGAATGCTCCATGATCCAGCAACATTCATTACCTGTAGTTCATAAATCTAGCTTTCAAGCATTTCTTACTCCCTCGTGATAGATCTCAGCTGCGTAAAATTTTTAATGATATTATGCTCTGGGTAACTGTAAAACTTGTTTAAGGAGATAAATTAAACCCATATGCAATCATAGTAATTGCTGTCTTGATAAAAAATAAAATCTGATCTTTTGTTGTAAGCAGAGTAAAAAATGCAAACCTGTTACTGTTTGTATTCTGTCAGTGGAGATAGCAGTTGATGGCTTGCACATGCACCAGGCACTTAAAAAATAAAGATATTCAAATGCAAAATACAAGAGTGTAATGGCAGGAAGGGGAATGTAATAGTTCAAAGATAGGACAAAACTACAATAAATCTGTATTCCAGGGGCTTAATCCTGAAAATCCCTAGGCAGAAGTGTTTTATGAAAATGGTGAAATATGATAAGGCACTGTAAAAGTGGAAGGTGAGGACTAATCCAGTACTTGAAACAGTTATTTATATCTCAGAGCAGGACATGATTTTTTCTAGGATTTCTGTTTATTGACTGTGTTTTAAGTTCTGTATTTTTTCAGTGTTGGGGCTAACACACTCTGTTTTGTACAGTGTTTTTTACCCTACTTTCCTTACATTCTTTTGATTCATTTGAAGACACTATAAAATGGGATTAAACAAATAAGATATGGTTAGGTGGACATATATCATCATGTTACTTGGTTTCACTCATGTGAAACTCAGACATCCTGGGAAAGCATAAAGTCTGAATCACTAACAGGCAAAGTACATCATAATTATGAAGAAGAAAATAATGTTTTTTTAAAAAAAACTTTTGGTCTTTGAAATTATCTAATCCACTGCTGTGCTTTTATTTCTGTGTTATTCTCTGAATACCATACTCTTACTATATAATAAAGTTATTTGGCCCAAAATAAAACTATGTGAAAGAAAAGCATTGCTGTCCAATATTTGCAAAACAGACTTTGTGTAATACTGTCAGAGGTTTCCCTGCAGGGCACTAGGTCTTGTAGGAACAAAAGCTAAAGCTTAATATTTTCAGTTAAAACAGCAGTGAACAGTTAAAGTAAGTTCAGAATGAGTGCAGAGAATATAGTTATGCTTCAGTACTTAGAACATTTCATCAAAATGCTGTCAAAAAAGCTATTCCTCAGTTCTTGAAGAAGAGAAGCAATATTTAATACAGCAAGGGCAAGTAAATGTGGAGATGTGCTAAGCAATGAGAATTCTGTTGTGAAATGTTTCCTCCCAGTTGGAGAAAAGATATCAAACTTTAATATGTTTGTTCTTTTTCTCCCAGTCAACAGAACATAAATTATGAATGTATATGAGGATATGAACTGGGAAGAACTCATTTTTTTTTTCCTTAAAAGCAGACTGAAATCATCAAAACAAATAAAAAGTAGCCATGCTTCTCTTAAACACTGCAGAGCTGAGGCTTGTAGTACACACCGGAAATGGACTTTCAGGTCCCAGGTAGCACATTGCTTCTATTAAATCTGTGTTAATTTCACTTCAGGAATATTAGGGAACTTAATCCCATAGTAACTTTTTGACATCAGAATCCAGTCACATGTCCCTGGTGTAATTGCCCTAATTTTTCAGGAATGTCAAAGAAAGTTTATTCTTAAGATTTCTTGTAGGCAGAAACATTGAAGAGGTAGAGGAAGGAAGAAAAATTATACACCTGATATGCAATTCTTTTCTTCTCTGTTCAGGCTGTGTACAGGGTTGTTATGCCTACCAACACTGTAAATTTCCAAGCAAAGCCTGAATGATCGGTGGCTGAGTGCTTGGCCCTGGGAGAAAATGTCAGCTCTGAACCTGAAAACATGCCCAACTTCTAGTGCTGGGAGGAGCCCATTTACAGGAGGTACATTTGAGCATTAGCCATGGGTTGGTTTCATGTCTTTTATATAATATAATATATTATTATTTATATGTTAAATATATATATGTTATTATTTATATATATGTTATTATTCATATATTTATATATATGTTATTTATATTAATATAAAAGATAATATATATCTTTTATATAATATAATATGTACTTGCAAAAGCTATGTTCATTGGTCTGTGTATTGCCTGTCTGAACATATTCTATTTAAAAAGAAGTTATATGTGTTAGTAAGATTAGGACAGGCCAGCGCCTTTAATGATCTCATTAGGAGTTGAGTAACAACAGATATGGAGAAGGCTGAGTTACTCAGCAACTTCTTTGTCTCTGTCTACACTGGTAGACAAGCTTCCTGCACGGGCTTCTTTCTTTTCCCTGAACCTGTAGACGGAGTCTGTGGAATCAAAGTCCCACCCACTGTAAGTGAAGAGCAGTTTCAATACCACCTGATGAATCTAAACAGGTATAAGTCTATAGGACCTGATGACAGGTCTTCCCCCAGGGTGCTGAGGGACCTGGCTAATGTAGTTGCCAAGCCTTTCTCCATCATAGTTGAAAAGTCTTGGCATTCGGGCAATGTCCCTGGTGAGTGGAAAAATGGAAATGTCATGCTCCTACTCTTCAACAATTAAAACAAAGAATTGAACAAAGAACACTACCCTTCAACAATTAAAACAATTAGGAGACATTTCTTCTCAGAAAAAGTGATCAGGCATTGGAATGGGTTGCCCAGGGAGGTGGTCGAGTCACTGTCTCTGAAGGTGTTCAATGAAAAGTTGGACATGGTGCTTAGGGACATGGTTTAGCCGGTGACATTGGTGGTAGGGGGATTGTTGGACTGGATGATCTTGAAGGTCTTTTCCAGCCTTAATTTTTCTATGATTCTATGAAATATTTCTTTTCAATCTTTGTTCATAGAAAAAACTAAAGTTGCTTAAACATGAAAAAAAATAATAAAAAAAACATCTTGAGGAAGACACATACAGAGAATATTCATCTCAAAGCTTTAAGAAGCTGAGAACAGGGTCCAGTGTGAGAAGGGTTCAACAATCTTTATTACAGTACAGTTTTACAGAGATGAGACCAGGAAAAATGTGTCAGAGTATGAGTTTTCTGCTGAGTTTTATTGAATGCCTGAGCAATAAGTAGTTTGCTTGCCTTGCCTCTCCTCCATCTTTTTTTTTTTTTGTGTTAAAAAATATAATGTAAAAAATGGAATAGAACTCACATAGAAAAATGGAATAAAACTCACATAGAAGTAAAAATGGTTTTTAAACTTGGAAATCCTGTGATGCAGCTCTCTGGAAAAGGTATGTATTTATATATGTATGTATCTTTAGAGTAGTAATTATATGAGTGGTCACTCAAGAGACCTAAACTTTTGTCAGGAGAGATTGTGGGTTCTGTGGAGTAAGGCAAGCAGAAGTGGGTGCAGTGTGTTGAGTGTCTTTAGTGTATACAGTAACATATACTTTAGAAAGCCTTAATGACAAGAGCATGTAGACTGAGAGATGAGATGTGGATGTTATCACGAAATATCTTAAAAAATTAATAACTCATTCATTCTTTAGATATTACACAAAGTGGCAAGACATACAAAATTAAAAAGTAGAGTTCTTGGACTTGCATATTGTAGATTGATTTATGCCTTTGTAAGCAAGTCTGTGATGCTGTCATCCTGAGTCTCAGGCATTTTGTGCCAAGCTGGAGCAAGTGTAAATAACTAGAGCACACTACAAAGCAAAGGAGCAGCAAAGTTGTGCCTTTATCTCTGTCAATCCCAGCCATTTCAGGGTGAGCAAACTATTAAAGACTACAGTATGAGAATCATCATCTTTGTGTTACCATCTACTCAAGTGTAAATACTCTTTTGCTAGACAGAGGTGACTGAATTTGAAACCTGTTATCCATTTACTATTTATTTTTTCCCCTCTTACCTGTTGTATCTACTTTCTTTGCTATTTTCTTTGTGTGACCTCTTTTTAATTTTCATTTAATAATGAAGGTCTGTTTGCTGGAGAAGGTCACTTCTGGTCTTCCTTTAAGGATCCCAGGTTCAGAAATGACTTGAAGCACTTTGAAGCTTATGGCATTTTTGGTAATGGCTTGCAGCTGTATTGCCTTGCAGTTATGGTGCTGCAATCTATAGGAAAGTGCGGTGTGCTGCCTAAGTGCCTGTGATGAGCAGATGACCTGGATATTCCACCTCCTTTGCTACCCAGAGCACTGGTCTGCATGCTGGCCCCTCCACTCTGCTGGCAGAGGTGTCTGTGAGCAAGCAGTGTTACCTGAACCACGGAGATCTTCAAGGCCAAATATCCACTTTTACTTGGGAAATTTGTGTTTTTAATCCACAGGAATATCCTGATCCTGTTCACAGCTTGTCTCAGCAACTAGGTGTGCTGCAGGGAGTGGGGGACAGCCAGTGGACACGTCCTGGAGAATAGCAACTCTTTTTGCTGGCCCTGCTGCTGACCTCCTCCTCCCAAGCTCACTAACCTACAGTCTCAGGTACTGTTCTCCTTTAAAAATAGGTCTCATTAAAGGCAGCTTGTCATTCAAACTCTGTAAATACAGAGTATGAGCTGCTCATTAGTAACAAGTGTGTGGGTGGCTGAGACTACAGCATGCCAGATATCAAGGTGAGAACAAAATGGGAAGGATTTATTACTCTCCTTCACAGGCTGCTTTTTATTCTCTTCAGATTTATCTTGTGGTTCCCACTGAAATCTAGCACTTTGTGATCACATTATACTTTAAAATTTGTTTTTAGCTAGCAGCTGGTTGGCCTCATGTGAGCATCTTGATCTTTAACCATTGGAAATGTAGTTTGTAGGTAGAAAAGGAAAGCGGAGAGATATTAGCCTGAGCTTAAACTGACTATTACTACTGAATTTCTCTCTTATTTTTTTTATTTTTTTTTTCTTATTCAAGAACCACTTGTCCAAATTGTCCAAGGTAGTGATTTCAAATGTGCCAATAATTTCTGGCATGCCTTTCCACGTTTTATTGGTAAATGAAAGTAACACTAATGAATGCTGTTAAGTTGAATGTATTATATGTCAGATAAATTTACTCAGAGGGTTTTTAACATTTTGTATCCTCAAAGTACTCAAGTATTCAGGTGTCTTTACATGGCACCAATTATTCTCAGATGTCCATAATTCTTGTTTGTATACAGACATGTTGAAATAGATTTTAAAACAGAATTGTTTTAAGTTTGTTTAAATACATGGACAGTTAATGCACACAGACTATTTTTCTCTGGTTAGGTTGATTTGAATGTAAGTTTTAGATTCAGTAGAAGGAAACCAAGTATATTATAAACACTAACTCAACTCATACTTACCCCTGAACTCATTCTCACAATGAACCAGATCTTTGAATGCAAAGACTTGCTACATGACAAAGTAACCCACACGAGGAGGTGATTCTACCTTTTCAAGGCATCTGATTCCTGGGACAAACTCAGGATTTATTATGCTATACTATTTATGTATTCTGGCCTTTTACATTTTTTTTTTATTATTATTATTTTTTGCATTTTTCTTCAACAGGACTTCTACTGTCAAGGTAGAAGCAATAGGACTTCTTATGTGCCAAGTAGAAATGTCTCAGAGGTTAGATAATCTTGGACTTGGGTGCTGTAAACAATAAGATATTTTGGGAAAGGGGATATCAGGCTTTAGTTGGCTTTGGAGATTTATTTACCTTAGTACTCAAAGCAATTGTCAGTACATTAATCATGGTTATTTTGTTTAAAGGAATAAATCCTTGCTGAATAGCCTCTCTCTCTCTCTCTGCCAGAACTATGCTTCAGGGAACAGTTGTATGGTACTATCACAAAGCAAGGATGAGATGAGATTACCCAAAATGGGGACAAATAAGCTTTCTGACTCCTGCCTTCCCCCAAGAGGACAGCCTGGAGCTGCAGGGCAGTGATCAGGGTAGGAGGCAGTGAGGAAGGGAGAGCTCTAAAGTGCAGGAATATGGGAAGAAAAGTGGTGGAAGAAATGGTCTGTAAGAAAGCATTTTGCTCTGAGTGGAGTTAGAAGCTTCTAAAATCAAAACCTTAAGCAAAATACATTTCAAATAAGTAATATAAGATCTTTTTCTCTTCCACATAGTGTACAAAAAATAACTCAGCTTAGAGTGAAGATGAATTACTTGCTTGTAAAGATCAAGAAATATAAAAAATCATTAAAATGTTACAATGTAACTTTTTAAATATTAGCAAAAAGGTCTTTTTGATGCTTGTAAGCCAAATTTCAGTGCAATGAGAATTTTTACTGCACAGCTATAAACCCATGAAAATATATTTCATAATATAAATCCCAAGAGAGCTATAACTATACCAGGGCAAACAAGATACTTCAATAAAAAGTGCTTGAGTATTGGAACTGAAATTTACTGCAAAAAGTAGCTCAGTTTGACAGCACAAGTATGTTGCAAGACAAAAAGAGAGAGAGAGAGAGAGACAGATGAGAAGTGCTTAGCATGAGGGAAGGTCCAAGAGGAAAGTAAAATTAGATAACTGGTTTTTAATATGGTTTTAATAAAAAGAATGGTTCTAAATCCTTAACTTTTTTCGGTATCTCTCTACAACCCTTCTAAACCTGACTAACTGCAAGAAGAGTCATGTTACTACTGAAAATCCTAGTCACAGGAAGATTGAACTGATTGAATTGCCTGTTCAGGAGAGAATAGAGATCTGCTAGATGGTAGTAGTGGTGTCATTGCTGATTGATGTCTTGATTTTTTTTTTTTGTTTAAATTTTGTTGTTGCTGTTTATTCCTGAATGAAACCAAACCAGACACCAAGATATGTATGCATGAAAGAAAGACATGCACATTTTCAGATTTTCCCCTTGTGTTGACGGAAGAGAAATCCAGGTGACACCTTCTGCACAGAGACTAGTTTGCAAATGGAAGGCTTAAGAACTTGCTTGCTCAAAATGACTGGTAAAAAGTGGATGGTTTGGATTGGCAAAAAAAAAAAAAAAAAAGTATTGTTTCTGGCGGCAAACATGCTTCAAATTGACCCACTGCTATCTTGCCTCCTTGTAACCATGGGAGGTCTTCCTCGATTTTGAAAGAATGAACGGGACTAAAAGAGATTGTTGTTATTTCCCCATAGGTACTCTGTATCTCTTCAGGAACACCCCTACGGCATCTCACATAGCTACTGCAGATCAACTTCAACCATTCCAGAACATCTCAAACTGAAACCTGTACTCTGAAGCAGAAGTGCCGAGGAAATGCACAGAGACAAGGACTGAAATTATTTATTGCTTTCTTCTGATGCCTGGCCTGTCAGATTTTCAAGGAGAGGGGAGTCTGCTACTTTTCTTGTGGCTGTAGTTTTACCCGTGCACTGGAAAAATTAACCAGAACAGTAGCTTCGGTACTAAAATTACTCTGACAGTGAGACAGAGGCAACTGGTCTTTTTAAATGAAGAGAAATGAGCTATAACAAGCTTTCTTGTGTGGCATGAAAACTGTTTGATAGTAGAAAAGCTTAATCCATTTTTGATTTTGCCAAACACCAGGAGGACACAGAATGGTTGCACTCTCACCCAGGAGAGTGCAACAGAAAGTGGGGTGGCATATTTTATTGGGGTCCTGTGAAGAAAAAAGATGAAAGGTAAAGAGCAGGAGAAACCCTGATGCAAAGGCAGAGAGTTTCCACTAGATTCTGTGATTAGCTTTTATGGCCACACTTGATAAAGAATTTATCTATGAAATCTATTACCAACATTTTTCAACCAGGAGAGATTGTAATAGCAGCAATAAATGGCTCTTTATAATATGACATTGTGCTGTTTTATGCTTGTAACTGACTGCAAGACCTAATCAAGGTATGCTTTTACCATTTATAGAGCAGAGCTTAAATTATCAAGCCTTTACAGACCACTTAAATATTTTTAAATATTAAGTGTAATCAATTTCTGAAGTTCTTCTTAGGTCTCTAGTATTCGCTAATTTCCCTGGGTCTCCCATCCTTACTCTTCGTGATCCTGAACAGATAGTAAGCACACTCCATTTGTACCAGATAGGTAGTTGAATGTGAAAACTAATAACTCCAGCCAGCAAAGCTGGCAGAATAATTATGTCTTGATTCATATGTTGAGGGGAAAACTCAAGCGCGTCTGAAGAAAATGAGCTGCAGCAGTTAATCTACCGTGTGCGGTGACTAATTTCATTGGAGAACTGAAAGTAAAATGAAAACCTTGTGCTAGGAGCTTAATGAGGAGATCTTTGCTAAACAAAAATGTTGACCCTCCTGGCAATGTAACGTGTGAACAGAGAAATTAGATTGTCTTCTTTCAGGCCCCTGACCTGAGAGGAAAGCTGATGTGACTTTTGTATGGAAAACTGATCGATGACTATGGCCTGTCAATGGATCTTAATTGGAAAACAAAGCAAAGAAATGAATGTTTTGATTGCATTTGGCCCAAGACTTATTCTATGATAATGAATCAGTGCAAGGCATGTATTATATCAAAGAAATTTCTAGCTACAGCATCTTATTAATTCATAACCCTTTTGAATGAGCATAAATTAACAATAACTTTCAAGTAAATTTAGGACAGTGGGGTGTATCTCTTATTTTGGTATTGTTTTTTTGTATTTCTTACGCTTTATTTGTCTTTATGAATTATGTTGTTAGGTCAGGTATAACAAACATAGGAACAAGAATTGTACCCTGACGACCATTTTAATTAAAAAACAAGATTTGTCACACAAGGGGAAGGAAAGGGCGTCTGGGTCACTGTTCTTTCTACTGCAAACACCACCTCATGCTATTTCTTTAATACACTGTCCAACATGTGTCTCAAATTACTTGGGAATAGTAGGGTAAACTATCACATAGTAAGGTTTTTAGGAAACATGTTTTTGTGATGGCTAGCCTGAGTTTATTTATGGCTGCTCTCTACACATTTGTCCTTGGGATAGTATTGTCTTTTGGATTACAAAGCACATCTCCCTATGGTGTGTTTTGCCCCTTTCTGGACAATAAGCATACCTCCTATGCAAAATCTCTTTTGGTAGGTGAAACAAAATTCTCTGTCATTCTTAAGTAGACACATGTCCTTTCCTGGCTGCAGCAGTATTAGATGAAGAATTTAATATTTTTTAATTACTTTTAGCTCCCTTTCCTGGAAATTAAAATCCATTCTGATCTACTAGCGGAGCTACTAGAGTGAAAACACCTTGAATAGCCTCTGTGAATCTCTTTTTGCTGACTTGTGGTTAAATGGGATAAGACAGTAACTAGCTCATAGTGTCTGAAATAGGTTAGGAAGTATTCACCAAAGCAATCAGTTAGCATCTATGAGAGGGCTGTAATCTCTAGCAGAGATAGTGATGGGTAACTTGGAGTGGACTAGGAGAGCCCATTTTAAATCAGCACAATGTGGATTAGAAGAATATACATGTACTTATGTGAGCAGATCCTCTGTGTGCATGATTTATTTGAACTTGTCCTTTTCACCCAGTTCTTTGGATGGACTTGCGTAAAATGGAGCAGGTTAACAATCCTCAGACAGTGCGTAGCTTCTCCTTATAGCATTAGCTTCTCCTGACTGCCAACACCAATGAGTCATGTGCAAATTTCCCTTGAGTTTTCACATTGCTGGAAAAATCAGATTTGTGCCAGTGAGATATTGTTTTCAGTGAGGAGGTTTTTCAGGGTAAAGATACTGATAACTTTTAATTGGTAGTTGTGGATATTATGTATTTGAATGCATTGTGTGTTTGGGGGGAGGGTGTTATTATTTTTGTCTTTTAGTAGTGGTAGATATTTTACAGAGCTTTACAAATATATATATATATATTACCTTTATATTTTAGTGCAGAACTGGGGGAGAAGAATGACTTGCTCCAATGTTGAAGCTTTGTCTTGTTTTATTTGTTTTTAGACTTCAGTCATAATTAAAAAAAAAAATAAATAATTTTTACTCTTACAACACTAAGTGTCATTGTTTCTTATATTCACTGAATGCTGCTTACAACAGGGATCCAGAAGACTAACAAATAGTTGTGCAGCGTCTTGAATGCACATAATCTATCACTGCTGCTCTGGAAACCAAACATCCCTCATAAACAGAGAACATGGGCATATTAAAAACTTTTGTTTCAGAAGCTAAAAACGTAACTCATAATATAAACAAATGTGTTATGTCTTATAGATAATATATAAATGCTCATCCCAATGTATCTAGGACAATCTTATTTTACCTGAATATATATATATATTTTTTTGTTTTGTTTTTTTTTCCTATTCCAAACTGTGCACACTGCTTTTAACAGTTTCATATTGAGACTGCCTGGTCATCTAAGTTATCTATTCTGATTTCTCCTTGTTTTGAAAGAGGACCATTTCCAAACAGATGGCAATATGGGACTTGTTAAAGTAGGAGAGTAAGAGGTTCCACTGAATACTTAATAGCAACTTTAATAGTAATTAAAACTATACCCATCTGAATTCCAAGAAGAGGAATGAATGGAATCTCATGGTACCTTTTCATATGTTCATTTTGACCATAGAGCTGCATTTAAGGTACCTGCATACTTGATTTTTCACTAAAATCATGAAGTTAACTATGTTCTGAATGGTGATAACATTCATCAAGATTTTGTGCATCCATGAAATGTGAGCAAGCTGGATGTTATAGGAGTATGAGAATGTATTAGCTATTGGCTCTTCTGGCAGAGAGTCAAAGCCTTGATGAAAAAAACAAAATGAGCACTTTTTACGAAATGAAGCCAGAAGCTGAATGAGTACTATTGTTTACATCAAGACAGATGATGTTCATGAGAATTTCCTGGCTTAGGCTCTGCTGTTGACCTATATCAGGCCTTCCTGTAACCTTTTTTTCTTCTGCCTCAACTAAAGTTTAATATACTGCAGGCTTAGATTCCTCAGGTTTTCATTCTTTCCTTGATACAAATCTGAATTTATTTTCTACAAATAGTTGACATACAGTTCTTCACAGCCAAAATCTATTGTTGTGCTTGTTTCTTTCATATTTAGCTTTAAGAGCATGCTATGATAGACTCTATGAAAAGATACTGTACCTACATTTATATAATGCTCATGAAAACAGAATAAGCAAAAATCTCTCTCTCTCTCTCTCTTTTTTTTTTTCTTCCCAAATATTCAGCCATGCCCTTTATGATCCTTGTCTTTGCCCAGATTGGCCTCTACCTCCAATAGGTTGTTATTCCATAATAGAGAAGATGATATAACAAATAAGTACAGTAAAACTTCTCTTTCAAAAAATATCCAACTAAATTTGATGGAAATAGCATGCATGATAATTTCTTCTGTGTTTGTGACAGATGATAATGCTTAGATGAAGATGCTCTTATCATAATGTAAAAATACCGACTTAAGTTTGAAGCTTATACAAATAGATTATTATTTTCCACTCAAGTTATCTGGCTCGTTAAATAGAATTTTCAGATAAAATCAGGTGGTTTGTGATGTTTAACTCTCCCTTTGTGTCGTTTTGTCATAACCTAGCTGTGTTGCCTGGCTGCTTGAAGCCCCAGGAGGTGTTTGGATGATTTCACTTGTTTGTTCTTCTGGGACAAGAGAGAAATACAAAGTGAGACACTGCTGCTCACCTACTGTATTGTATTTTCTTCTGAATTTCATGGTTCAGCAGTTCTTCTCTGAAATGTTTTAATGAGGGAAGACATAATAAATCACATGGGCTTTCTTTCATAAAGATAACTAATAAAAATGTAGGAAAATATGAAAGACATTATGCCAAGCTGTATTGCTTTGAAACTCTTAGCCTTCTGCTTTCCATCCTGTATAATTTTTTTTGCTATTATTCTCATTCTATTTAGTAGCTGAATCACCTGTTATTGCTAAGAGTCAGTGTTCAGTTAAGCTTAAAGAAAAGGTGCTCTAATAATCTACAGTTCTGATGGCTGCTCAGTGGTGTCATGAACTGTGTTTTCTCAAAGAGCTGTATGGCTTATATAAGCCAGGAATAAGCAAACAAATTCCTCTCATACAACCAGAAGATTAAGATGGAAATAGAATATGTAACTGATAGAGAACAATTTTCCTCTCACTTTAGCTCACCCTTCTTCTTTTCGCCTGTTTCAGAATCATCTGAGAGATCATGAGCTCTCTGGTTGAACAGGTTTAATGTTTCTTGCTGCTTCTTGCCTTCTCTTATGGGCTGCAAATGGTTCATTATAAGGAGTTATTACACTGTGCTCAAATTCTAAACCCATTACCCAGTGGTTTCACAGAATGGTTGAATGGACACCTTATTTTTGTATTGAAGGAAGGAGCTTGGGAACCCTTCCAGAAGAGGATCTGAAAACTGGTTTGGAAATGTTGTATTTGAAACTTTATATGTTGAAGATTCTACTAGTTTAACACATTCTTCCTGGGTATGATTTAAGACTCCTTCGGAAGGAGGAATATTTACATCTAATTTTTTACTTATTGCATTAAAACAAGTGCATGCTTGGCAATGGTGGGAATAACGATGGTAAGTTTTTTTCTGTTGTCATTTAGCTCCTTTTCCCATGGCCAGAGCTGTCTCTTTAAACATGCTAGTAGCTGTTCAATTTGGTAAATAATACTTATACTGATTAAAAAGATTTATACAGGTGACTGAGTGTGGCAGAAGATAGAGTTATTCCCCGTGTAAGTGGAAATTCATGGACAGCGTTATGCTGTGTTCAGGCAGCTTTACTTGTGTGCATGCAGGCCTTTGAATTATTTCAAGAATGTGCTTTGATATTTTCATGACATCTTAAAAATAAGCCTGACATTTTGCCATTGAAAAATAATGGAAAAATGAATTAGAAATGGGATAAAAGATCATTGGTGAATGAAAGCTCATATACATATCAAACAGCCATCAGCTCATTGCTTATAAAAGATAAAAACTCCCATTGCCAATAAGAAAACTCTTCTGATAAAACAGCCACTCCACCACTGAGATCTTAATCCTCAGCTTACAGAGAGACCTAAAAAAGATCCTCGAAGATGAGTCCAGAAACTAAGCTTTAAGACTGCACTGCTCATAAGCAGAAGAGTGAAATGCTGTAGTGTAAAATAGTTCAGGAAAAGATGGTATTTATAATCACACGTAGTTTAAGTTCACAGTGCTCTGCCCAGCAGTACTTGTTGAAACCAAGGTGGCTGCACTATGGGTTGAAACTTTTTATACGAGTTTTGGTTGGAAAGAAAATATTGGTGGATCTGTATGTTCAAAACAATTTTCTGTACTTAGCTCTGTTGCTTCTGTTTGTCCTTAAAAAGTTTGCATGCCTGAAAACTTCCCTGAAAACTTCCCTGTTTTCTGTTTGCAGTTAAATCAGGTGGTGTGATAAAAAGACTACTCTTCCAAAACAGATGAAGATATATTATGGCATTTTCTTCTTATGCAGTCATTTATATTTATATTTATATTTATATTTATATTTATATTTATATTTATATTTATATTTATATTTATATTTATTGTTCAGGTTATTGTTTAGTTATTCATTTTCCTAATTTTTATTTTTTATTCTTGTTAATCAAACTGAACAAACATAGTTACATAGTTCTGTTTATGGCACCTATAGTGACAGCCATACAGACCATCTGCAGGTTTGGATCCTTTATATCCACAGCGTAGGCCATCCATTTGAATCTTCATGCCTTTCCTACAATTAGGACTATTTTTAAACATTTGAATTATTTAACTAATACTAAGAAAATACATTTTCTATTCAGGACAGAATTATTTATTTTTATCCTATGTAGTGATTTGCTTGTGAGAAATTAAGCATTCAGTGACTCCAAGGATGATAATATACCATATGTAGAGTAATTAAATATTACCGAAACATCTGTGACACACCTTCAAAACAAAACTTTGCTTGTTTTCTAACTGCAGAGCCCCAGCAGGGGGCTCCCAGGTAACACTGAGAAATCTTTAAGAGGCATTAATGCATACAAGTTGCCCATATTTGGATGATAGCTGTGTATTTTTAAACTTCCTAGAATCTGAGTTAAATTATCACTTAGCATTAATATTTTTAAAAGCATTTTACTTAGGAAATGTTTTGGTTGCTAAAATCCTTTGGCTCATCATACAGTGTTTCAGTGGAACTTGCCGTTCCTTGGATTCAAAGGCAGACAGTGAAAAACTACAATTTTTCCTCAGCCCTTTTGAAAATCTGGCTGACGGATGTCTTGAGCCAATTTAGGTTTAACACTACCTAACATCCCAGAGAGATCTTGGAATTTGATTGTATTTTAGTAATTTTCTGCAAATGGATTAAATCTGTACTCTGTATAAAGAAGAAGCAGGATTAATTGTACTAACAATAGAATTAGCAGTCTCAAATGAAGAAATAATTTAAAAAATAAAAAAAAATGATCCACCACCCTTGAATCCCACTTCCTCCTATAAAAAGGCTAATTTTAGAGCTTTTTTTTTTTTTTTTAACACCTATTTTTTATAACTATTTTATAACTGTTTCATTTATTTCTTTCAGCGAGAGACTCAATATTTGGAGAGTTTGTAATGAAAGTAGGCCAGTAGTCAACTGTATTTCAAGGGGTTCTAACTGGGGTCAATGAAATAATTCTTAGCAAATAGTCTGACAATTTATTTCTCGCCCCATTTGCCAAACATCTGACTAGAAAATTTTCAAAAGCATTTATTCAGAAATATTTTTGAGGTACTGAAATATCTCTTGTAGGGTAGTTTGTTAGCTACAAAATAGAAATTGAAACAGAGAGATGGTCTTTCTTCTGTGGAAAAGTTTATCATCAAAACCTGAGGACAAATATAAAACACCCCACACCACCTAATAAAACCCCAAAATTACAGATTTCCACAGGAGACTTGCTTTTCATTTACACAAACATGTTACTAACAAGGCTGGAAGCAGAACATGGATCTCATGATTTATACTCCCAATAAAACCACTTGATCACCCTGTCTTACATAGTTTACCAATCCACCTATCTAAAGATTATGAAAAATACCTCATTTGCCAACTCCTGCCATACCCTCAGAGGTGGTTTTAGAGAGGCTGTGCTGAAAGGGACATCAACAGCACACATCTGATCATCAGATAGGTAAAGAGGCAGGCCTGAGAAGTGGCAAGAGCTCTGAAACTCACCAATTTCTTCTGTCTCTGCCATGATGCATGGGAGATGTCAGCTTACCCTCTTCAAGTAACTTATCTTCTGAAACCGTAAACTTTTCTGTGTGATTTATGGAAATTATGGTCAAGTAAAAGAGTATATGTATCTTTTTTGGAAGATACAAATACTCTGTATCACTATCTTTTCGGGCTAAGCCTATTTCTGCTCACGCGTTTTTGGAAAATTGGTCCTTGGTATTTTTTCATTAACATGAAAAATTTGACACCTCATCTGTGCAAAATACACAATTTTGCAAAACTAAATACAAATAATTAGGACTTTCTATAAAAACAAAACCAACCAAACAAGCAAGAAAACCTCCTCACAACCAAAAACCTGAATGGATTTGTGTTTTGCAGAGGATCTGGTCCCCTGATTAAATATATTTGGACATAGCCTATAATATACTTTTTGCCACAGAGCCCTGGTTTCTTGAGCCAGAGGTTTTGTACTCTTTCAAGCATTTTGCTTGAAGTCCCAAGTGATTACTGCTGCGTAGATTGCTCCTGTGTAAACCTCTCTGCTGTAGGTTTAATTGCTGAGTGAATTTTAAGTTACTTTATATTTGTCTATGCTTTTGACTCTTGATTTAGGCTCCTGGTAGCTCCAATGCTTCTGATGTTTCTAGATTCCTCCCTGAAAGATGACATCTGTTTGCATTCATAATCCAAAAAAATACATCATCCTAAGTACATGTATGTATGTGTAGTATTTGCATTCTCGTGTCTGTTTCTCAGTTTCAGAAAAAGTGATCAGACCTGTGTTTTAAGGTGGGATTCTATTACCAATGCCATTACATAGTAATGTCACCTTGTTAATGGCTTTATATATATACCCTCTAGTTTCCACACATTTTGTCTCTTTCTTTTTTATTAGAAAATTACATGAGGGTGTTTTGGCCTGACAGTTATGGGATCACAAATGTTGGTACTAAAGCAAATGTGCTAAATAGAGAAATGTACTCTTGTATTTTATAGAGTAATTCATCTGCCATTTGATACTTCATTCTCCTCAAGGACTCACAGTGCAAATTGTTGCCATTCACAATAGGTCTCCCTCCTACCCTGATGGAGTAGCAATATTAAACACCAGCCAGGCTGGCAGCAAAATCCTGTGGCTTTTGTTGTTGTTGTTTTATTTTGTTTTCAATTGGTTGGAAATAGAAGTGCTGAGGTACTAACAGGCCAACTCCTATTCTTGCCCTTGCCACCAGAGTGGTTCCAAAGAGTGTTTATTGATATGGTGATAGGCGCTTTTTATATATAAATTAAAATATTTGTATATAAAATAATAATTAAAAAATGTTTTCTAGACTGTAATTTTTTCTTGCCACTACTTCTAAATTAGGCCAACAATATTTGAGAAGAACGAAATTTTTCTTTTAAGTGAGATTTATAGAGGAGTGAGTGTTAAGAAACAATACCTTTAAAGCATTTCTTTTAAAGCACTATTCTCAGAAAACACTTTACCTCTGCTGAGATTACTGAAAACATGGTTTGTGATTGCCCTAGTGAATTACTCAAGGCAGGGGTGTTGTTGATTCTGATATCCCTGAACACCTGAGAAGGTTGAAGCCAATCTTCTGTCTTGTGCAGCACAGAGCTGCCATGAGCCTTGTTAGCAAAGGAGATGTCTCTGACAAACATCAGCCCCCACAAACTGATAGGTTTTATTCTTTCTCCATTTTTACCTTGTGTGCCTTTATCAAAGTTGTCCCAGCATCCAAGCATCATTTCAGCAGCTTTTGGATGGTTTATGGCAGGAGGGTTCTTTACTCTTAGAGTGCCTTTACTCACCCAATTACACATCTAGGCATGTTCATCAGTCTAGGGTAAGTCTCTCTTTCTGGTAAATATTCACTGCCTCCCTATGGCTTTTATTTACACACCTGGCACTTCTATTGTATATAAAAGGTAGGGATTTCTTTCATGTCTTCCAGCTTCTCTGATTTTGGTTGCACTGTTTCTTCAGTGATGTCACTGATCATTATCAGTATAAATCCAATGAGAGTGAAGCTGGGTTTTGAGCAGATAAGAACTTATAATTTTCTCCCTCAATGATAATTGTTCTTAACGTGCTAGAAATTAATAGCATGCAATCTGGAAATCTGCAGAAAAGTACAAATTTATTTATTTTATTTTTTTAATATAATTTATTTAATTATTGTTAGAGAGAAATGGATTTGCTTTTAGTAAATGTCTTTCTCATGATGAAAGGTTTTGTTTTTGGTTGTCCAATTTTGTGCTATCTGTACAACTAGAAGGTTATCAGGTGAGAACTTTTATGGTTTGTGAAAGGAGAAAGCTGTGATGGCAAACATATGATATTCCTTGTGGATATTGCTTTTCAGATCTCCCCTGCCTCTCACCTTGCAAAATCAAGTAAAGAATGAAATACTCCTTAAAAACTGCCTATGCTTGTGCTATAGAAGGGATTCTTAGAGTGTTTATAAATTTATTTGAAATTCTTCTCTATCAAAGGTACTTTGGTCTTAATCTCTGCCACAACATTTATTTTTACATTATTTCTGTATCTCAGCATGTTTGAGGCATTATTTTTACACATCACAGATGAGCTATGATTTGAATGGATTTTTTTTTAATATATATTTATATATATTATATATATTTATAATATATTTAATATATTAATATTTAATATATATATTATATATTAAATATATATTTATATATTAAGAAATGGAATTTTGATGCAGATTGTGTTGACAGTGGCAGAGTAATAACTCCAAAGCATTAGAAGATATTCCCAATTCTGATAGGAGAGAAGGGAGGTCTTGTTCAACTTAATAGAGAGAACATAGTTCATTAGAGAGAAGAGAAGAAAATAATCCAAACCCAATTCATACCAAGAAAGCAAGAGATGATATATTGCATTGAAAATATGTAATACATGCTTTACAGTGTCCTTCACCTTTAAAATTAAACATTTGTTACTCTTCTTGTTGGATTGTCCAATTGTTATTGTTTTTTAATTCTTTGGATGGTATTAATGTAGTTAAATATTATCTTAACAATATTAAGATAATTAAATAGGTGACAAATATTTTCAGTAATCTGAGTCTGATCCATAATATGCTTGAATTAAAAGGTCTTTGAATAAGGCCTACTGGGCTTTGCTCTACAAAATTCCTATGATTCAGTTCTGTGGAGTGCTGTGCTTGAAAGCTGTGATCAATTACCACATCTAAAGCTTGTATTTAAATTCAGGCCCATCTAAAGCTTGTATTTAAATTCAGGCCCATGAAGCCAGTTGTGAGTCCACCAGAATGCATATGTACTTTATTATTGGTTGCATATTTACAGCTGAGGCCATATCAAATACTTTGTTGTTGTTGTTCTTTAAATACTCTCTATAGGACTCATTTCACCTGAAGTGTTTCCCCACTTCATTTCCTCATTTATTTTTACATTAAAAAACAAACAAGCAAGCAAACAAAAAAAGTATAAACAGAATAAGAATTAGTTGGCTGAAATGGGAGGTTAAAATCTCCAAAAGCTCTATGATTCTATGAAATCAATTATTGGGTATTACTTGATAATTCAGTCTGAGTTCATGAATAGCTGCTCCACACAGAGCTGCACTTTCTCTGTATAAAGGCTATGGGGGCAAAGAGAGGGAGGAGACCTAGCTGGGGGAATTCAATGCATGTCTCCTCAGTGGCAAAGGGAGCACTTCTTTTCGGGGTGGAGGTGGCTTGTCCTATGTCGTTTGTGAGGACATTTGTGCTAATGGAAGGCTTTCTCTGAATTACACCTGAGAAGGCGCTAGGGTTTTTTCCCATTTCTTGTAGGCCTTTAAAATAGCTTATAGGTTTCAGTTTTCCATTTCCATTTGTCCTATTTATTAGCTACCAATTTACTATTTCATTTTATAAAGCTCCATTTTGTGTTTGACACTAAATAAAACTTATGGGATGTGATTTATATAGACCTTTACTACTGCAGGTAAAACAGAAAACCTGTAACTGCTTCTAGGTATAAACCAAAAATACCATTTTCAAAACACCACTGTAGTTTTAAGAGCGCACCTGCTTTTGTCTTAAACTTCTTCAGTTATGGCTGCATGTTAGAAATTACTACTGAGATCTCAGTCATGGGTATTCTTCATCAAATGATATTAAATTATAAAAACTTGTGTTGGCTGATGAGCCGCAATATGTATAACAAATGTGTGAATAAAGCAGTAGTGAGATTGCATTTCCTTGTACATATAGCGTTTCATAGGTGTTAGTCCATCTATAGATGTAGCACAAAGGTTACAAATCCAACAGCTGCAGAGCTGGGGAGTGCCTTCTGGGACAGTTATGGAGCAATGTGTTATGGAGATTTTCCCTCCTGTGCCCAGCTAAATACCGGAGAAATAAAGCCAAGCTGAATTGAGCTTCATGTTACGAATGGACTAAATGTGCTGCTCACCCACTGATTTATCATCCCTATCATTCAGTAGTGCTATGTTTTTTCCAATATTTTTACATTAAGTAGAGTAGTAAGAAGCAGTGATTTGGTCAGAGAAGAGTCCTGCAAGAGCAGGAGGAGCCAGGTTTGGGGACAAGCACTCATGCCAGGACAGGATGGGCAGCATAAATGCAGGTTTCAATGTTTAAGCTGGAGAAAAGTCTGTCTGGATATGAGTAAATATTTCTGAAATGCAATACACACAGCAGAGACTTAGCAATATGTGCTGCTACTGCAGCGTTGCCCATGGCTGACAGGTTAAACAATGCAGGGGATGCTCTGTCTGGGGAAGAGACCACCATTAAAAAATCAAAAAGTACTTTTGATTTGAACTAGAGTAATGCAGTGGTTGTTTGTCATGAGCTTAGGAGTAGCCAGGTTGCATATCCTTGCTTTTTTTTTGTGTGTGTGTGTGTGTGTGTGTGTGTATGTGTCTGAATATAATCTGAATATAATTAATTACATTAAATCTATATTAGATCTATGCAGCAATTCCCTTTGCTGCACAGCTCTGTGACTGGTGTGGGAAGATTCTTTTTGTTCCTTCAAACACGTGAGTCAACTGTTTTGAAAGGCCTAGAAGAAAAGAGTGAAAGGTCCCAAACTGAAGAAAACATTTTTCTTCCACGAGTCAGGCATCTTTCTCTGCTTTGGGACTGCTTCCCATGTAAATACAGACATGAGTGTGGTTTCCCCAGGACAGCAGAGTGTGGTTATGGTGTTGAGCCTTGGCTCCTTTTTCCTTCTGAGGTGAATAAATTCTCCTAGCAGTGCACTTGGTGCTAGCATCTCCTGTGATTATGAGCTGTGCTGGTTGCCCATCACGTGTCTTCGCTCCAGTAAAGGGAGTCTAGTGTGACCTGCAGCAGCCTGAACTGGTATCTGCAATGTACCCCTACCTCCTCCTAATAGCTGTAAGTGTAGGAGTATAATCATTTACCCGTGAATCCTGAAAAATGGCGCTCAGATTTTGAAAGGGAAACATTTTTGTTTCTGATTTTTGGAAGTAGAAGAAATGACAAATGTTTGGCTAATTTATTTTTGTAAAAATTTTGCAAATCTTGTGGTTTCAAAAATATAAAGGAAGTTCCCAATTTTTTACTCCAGTGTTTTTATTTATTTATTATTATTATTATTATTATTATTATTTAAATATACCTACTGCTAAATCTTGTGGTATTGATACATAGAAAAAAAGGCACCTCATTTTTTTTTTTTTCAAAGCCATTCTATCTCTTGATAAAAAGATGCTTTGTAAGTTGTTTCGTGTTTTCTGTAGAGTGAGATAAAAAGTAGCTTTTTAGATGACGTTGCTTTGTATCATTCTGAATGAATGAATTTTTTTTTTTTGGCTGGAGTTGTTTAGAAACACAGGTGATGACAATAGATTAATTATCAGCATGAGCAGGCTGCCTGTTGCCATGATGGCAAGTTGGCAAGTCCTGAAAAGGACCTGATAACAGACTCTTTAATCAAATCCATGAGAGTGTTTGGAAGAAAACCAGAAATGCATAGCCCCAGATCATGACAACACAAAAAAAAAAAAAAATTACACAAAACAGTGAAATTTCACTGTACTAAAAGATTTGGCTAGCAAATTTCTTTAGAAACACTCTCAGATGTATTGCCATAATAGGGTGTCATGAAGGAAAGTTTATAATGAAATTTACAGTTTAAGATTGTAATTTAAAACAATGTTCTGTATTTAAATACAGCTGTTCTTTTATTCCACCCTTAGGATTCATTAGATTGACTTCCATGGATATTGCATGAGTGAATGGCTAGTAAATCCAGCGTTGCATGGGTTGATTCACATTGGTGAATTGGTTGGAGATGAATGACTGTCCCACAGTATTTACATGTATGTTATAGCAGAATTTATGCGTGTAAGAAAGGGTGAAATAAGTCTTTACCGTGAAGGCAAAGATCCACCTTCCCCTTTGCAGATATACTGGTGCCTAGTGTTGCTGCAGCAGTATGAAAACATGGTCTCAGTAAACCAAAATTTTTCAGTGCTGTAAGCCAGCCTTTCTTTTACTTGTCAAGGCATGCTCAGTACCTCTGCCTTGAAATGAATGAAGATCTACTCTTAATGATGACAGATGGGTTTGTGTCTGAACATCAGAAGGGAGGGAGATCTGTGTAAAGGTATCTATCATTGAAGGCATGTTGCTCCTCTTAGCTAATATTTTTTGAAGGGTGTGCAGCCTATTGTTGCTTTCAACACACTAGATGAAATTCTGCTGTCATTTATTTTGAGGTAATGTCATGATAACAGAACAGATGTCTCAGAAGAAATAAGATGTCATTGTTCTTCTAGTGAAATGCAGAGAAGAATTAAGAGAGAGCTGAATAATACTAGGAAAAGATGATTTAAATCAGAGCTTCCATTCATAACATCATGACATAAGAATTTGAGTTTGGAGTTCAGTACAACATATTAATAATAATTAATTTTAAAGACATATATCTCTAGCATCATACTTAAAAGAAGGAGAGAAAGGGCAAGCAAAAGAAAAACCTGCATCACCTGCTGGTTTGAGAAGCTAAAGCTTTGGGAGAGATTTCTAGAGAATCTTTCATGAAAGGGCAGTACAAGCAGTGAGAGGGACTGCTAGCACCAAAAGAGCTACAGCTAATGTGGTCTGATAGCTTATTAAAAATAGAGGGGTGGGGAAGTGGAGGAGCTGGAAGAAGAATCCCCTATTTTACAGGCTGTGCTGGACCAGGCTAGAGCTGTCTCAGACAAAACCGTCCCCATGCTGCAGATTTGCATGTTGGCTCAAAGGGAATTTGCCTTAGGAAGCAGGTAGCTTCTCTGTCCCAATACATCATAGAAAATAATAATAGCTGCTGGAAGGAGTATTTGATAGAACCTGAAGTCACACATAGCAGGTACATAATGCTTAACAGCTGCACTCAATTTCCCTGGCATATTGAAATGGAATTCAATGGAAATATTAACGCAGAGTTAGATATGTTTATGTGTGTTTACTTGCTTGGGCAATAGGATGAAAAAGTTATTTGGTTAGTAATGCTGCACATTATTCACTACCATGAATAATAAACAGAAGTAGAATTTGCAATAGGACACATAACAGTAATTCACAGTTTTAGGGGGCAGAAAGCTTAGGAGTATTCTGTGTCTGTGCAAGTTGATATGCATGCATCTTCAATCTGTTGTGATATAGCAGCAGAAAGTTACTGGAAAAAAAATAGCTAAAGGGGCTGTTTGTTTCCTCACAGAATTTGTGCTATAATGGAGACATATGAAAGTGATAATATTTTGCTATATGATATAAAACCAGCCCAGTGTATTCAGTATGTATTTCCCTTGTTTATTCATCTGTAAAGCCAAACAATTAACCTTGCTTTATTTTTCCTCAGCTGTGTTGGGACTGAACATTGCATCACTGCCAAACTGCTGGGCATGTGGATGCAAGCAGGGCAGGTTGTTTAGAGCTGTTGTGATTGTTCCAGTTCCTGTTTAAGGAAGCCAGTAAAATTTCATATCTGAACCTGAAAAGAAACATTTAACTCTGGACTGAGAAACAGAACATGGACATGGGGGACAGCAAGCATTTAAATCATCCACGAGGGATGGTTTTAGGCCTTTTCTGAGAGGACTGATGATTTGCTGGGAGCTCAGACCCCAGTCTGCAGTGTAATTGGTGCTGTCTGCCTTTTTCCAGCCATGCCAGGCCAATGCTCCATTGTCAGTAACTGAAATGAAACCTCACAGGTCATGGCTCCTCTGTGTGAGGTTTGGTGATACTCTTTGCACTTTCTACTGTGTAGAAGCTGTATGCAAACTAAGACTCTGCAAAGTTTCTTCTCTGCCCACGAGGCTAAGATTGGAGCTGTGCTGAATTTTCAAACAGGCGATGTTTAATTTCACCTCATAACACTTTCTGCAACGTCTTCTCTCTTATGAGGCATATGTGTCATCTCGTATATGAAGAAATTGTTGTTTGTATGAACTAAGGGTAATCTGTAGGCTGACAGAGGCATGTTTATTACCATAAGGAAAGTGACCTCTAATAGACACAAAATGTTCAGTGCAGTAATTGCCATCTGTGGTATGAAACCCACTTCAATGTCTCTTAACTAAATTCTTCCTTCTGCTCTTTGTCTTCAATTAGATCATTCATGTGGGATTGGGACATTACATGTGTTTTCACTGGCAGACTGCAGAACAAATACTGCTCACCAGATGCATCTAAGCAGCTGTTTTCTTGGAGAAATGATGGCACAGCAGCTTGAGCTGCAAACAAGACCCAACAGCTGAAAACCTCTTTCTGCACATGGTTGGTGATAAAGAGGTGGAGACAGGGACACGTCTGGCAATGACTGGCTCTCCTGAGCCCTTGCTGTTTTTCTCTCTGTGAGGAGAGAAAAAGCAGAAACCCAGGAAAGGCCTAGGTTGCCCTTGTGCCATTTATGTTAATGGCACAAGGCAGGGATGAAAGAGTAGAAGAGAATTGCCCAGTGCTGGAACGTATGTGGAATATAGATTGCCCTTTATGTCAGTGAGGTGTGTTTTTTTTCGTTTGTTTGTTTGTTTGTTTATTTTTCCTACTGAGATAGGTTAGGTATTGAATGGGGTATTAAGCTGCAGAGCTATATCAGTTGCAGAGCTGATGCTTAACCATCTCAATATGAATGGTTATTTAATCACACCAACCAGGAGCCTCGTTATGTGTAGGATGCCATCTTTGCTGCTGCACTGGAGGTTTGCTTGAGCACCTCTGGGACTAGGAGCACAAACTGTTATGCTCAGCAGTGTCACAGCTTCTTGTCCAGGCTCATGCTTTGTGGATGAGGCCTGTAAGTGGACTTGCAGCAGATTCACCAGATGCTACAGCTTCTTTTGCTGTCTTCTGCAGAAGACAGTTATTGACATCAGATGTGCAGCATATATATGGAAATATGTGCACAACATATACTGCTAGGTGTAGTTTATGTTGTACACAAACTGTTTGTGAGGGACTATTTGGCTCTAATACACACTTTTGCCATTATGCAAACCCTGGAATGAAATAAATCTATTTCCTGGCCTTAAACAAACAAACAAAAAGTATTTTGAAAAATTCTCAGGCCAAAAAGTCCTTTAATGATGACTGTTTTGCTAAATTGATTTTCAGTTTGATTGAAAAGAACTGTAGGAGGTCTGAAGGCAATGGGAAAGATGTGTTTTTTACATGCTCTGTTTAGCAGGTCATAATGACAGTCTGTAGTCTATCAGCTATTTCCTCATGGGTTCCTTGTTTTCCTTTTCACAACTGAAGCAGCAATTTTTCTGTAAGAGAGCAGATCTGTCTGTACCAAAGTGCCTTGGTGCCAAGTGATGCATGACCTTTGAATCTAATAAGTTAAAAAAAAATTATGATAAACCAAAGTAATAATTTTTAAATGATTTTTTTTGTTAGTTTCTTTCTTGTGAAGCTTCAGTTGATGGGTTGGAAAGTTCTCTCTGAGTGCACGGGTAATGATACGTTTTAGAAGGTTGTGCTTTTATAGTGTAACATGTCCCTTTAAAATTTTATTTTCAGTAAACTCTAAGTTATCTTTCCCAAAATATTACTTTCATTTTGAATTGCTACAGCAGTTCCTCCTCTTCTATCCCCCACCCCCCCCCCCACCCCCCCGATTTCCCCTCCTATTTTATGATTTTAAGGTATTTCATCTAGGTTTTATGCTTTATGTGGTTGTTTCTTTTTTTTTTTTTCCTTATTAACTGAAGTATGGTTTTGGTTTTATGCTCTCCAGGCATTTTCAGTGTTGAACGATAACAGTGATCAAAAGTTGTTTCAAGCAAGCAATGTGTTTTCCCCTTCTACCCACCCCTCAGCAAAGCTACCTTAACTTTAAAAATTATGCAAAGCCTACTCAAGCTCTGCAGCATAAGATACAACTTGGTTTGGTTTTAATTATACATTTTGAACATTATCATTAGATCATGTCTGTTCCGACCTTAGAATATATTTTATCTATAGGGGTAAATATAGGTTGTATTTTATAAAGTAGTGGTGATGGTGTGAAGAGACAATGATAAACCAAAGCAGATTAAAGAAAATCTATATTCACAAGCATCAGTAATCTTTAAATAGTTCAAGTAAATTTACAAATTCACTCTTTTTATTCCCTACCAAATGTTGGATGCATTTCTTCAGATGACTTCCAAATTTTACATTTTATATCATTCTAAAGAACTGCATGAAAGATTTCAGAAGGAATGATTTGTCTAAGTTATGGCTGATTATCAGGTACTAACATGCTCAGAAGAGCTGAAAGAGACACTTTATTTTTCTTAGTTATAGCTAATAAAAGTAATTTTGATGCCTTGTGGAAAATAGTTGGATGTATTTTTGTGCTGTATATAGTATATTTGCTGACTTTTAAAGCTGCAGTGAGAAACCAAGAAAAAGGAGAGCATTGGTAACACCTGCACTTACCAACCACTAGCCATATGTCTGATTTAAAACAAGCAAACAAACAACAAGCAAAAACAAAACCAAAAAAATGACAACATACCGCAGACCGTAAAGGACTGTCCCATCTGGATGGAGCCGAATCATTCGGTTTTTCACTGTCACTCCATGGACAAATGACTTCTTGTCATTTAGGAAATATGTGTCAGGCACCCAGAGCTGGTCAGCCACTCTGTTGTCCAGTGTTAGGTTCAGAGGTATTCCAGAATAAGAAAGCCTTTTATCCCTCCAGGACTGCTGGAAGTACATGGTAAGGGTGTAATCCTACAGAATAAATGAGAAAGGCTTTTTGTGTTTTGCATACTGAATAACTTAACATAAATTTAGTTTTAAATAACTTTCTGTTCAGTAGCAGAATATCAAAAAAGCACCAGGAAGTTTAAGGTTCATTGCAATGTTGTCAATAACTGTGAGTCTTGGCTTGTTTGTGTTAATGTAGAACTTCACACTACTCCCCAGTGGCAGTGACCACCCACCACAACGCCCCTGGCCATGGGCTTAAAAACCCTCTTGTGCCAGAAGGAATGCATGGTACATTTGGGTCTCCAGTCTATAGGTTACAGGGTCTCTGGTCTACAGACCACGCTTGCCATCTTTTGATAGGTTTTCTTTAACATGAGAAAAGCAGGGTTTTGTTGGCCTCAGTCAAATAGCCTTGAACACCATTGAAAACACCTTTTGATATTTGCTGTCTTCATTGTGAAAGATTCCTCCCACAATCCAGGAAGGCTAGCAGTCCCTAGACCATCTTAGAAAGAGCAAAAATGACTGCAGAAAGTATAATGAACAATTTCTCATATTGAGAGTGCTGCAGTTGCCAGGTGGAATGACCTTTGGTAGCTGAGCATATCTCACCTGAGCCCAGATGCTTTCTGGCCTTGGCAATCAAATATTACTGCACAGAAAATGAACATGGCCTGACTATCACACTGTAGCTTAGGGAAAGTACCATTTACAAAGTCCTTCAGCTTTGCACTTGGTCAAGAAAGAAACTGTTGTAAAAGACTTCTGGTCTGACTTACTCCCTCAAGTCTTTCACTTTGTACATTTAGTCGTTTTAAAGGTACTCAAGTTTTTGATGTGGAAAAGCCCACATACTTTATGTCTGATGGATTTCTTAAACAATGTCTGAAACAGCAGTATGTAGACTGCTGGTTTTATCTTCCTTCTCTTCTCTCCTACCCCCCTTTTCAAGTGGCAGGTCATTTTGTCACACATTTAGCAATAAAAGAGCAGTAACATTACAGATGCTGGGTAAGATTTTCTTTTATGTGAGAGAAGGCCTCACCTCTGTCATCCTTACAAACCCTAGCCTGTACTGTAATTTTGGAAGAAATAGAGAGCATAAAAACTGTCTGTGATTTCCTCTCTTCATCTTCACTGGCTTCTTAAGATGTACCACTACCATGAAAATCAAAGCACTGTTGTTACCTTTCTAAAAGACTTTCTGCCTGAAATGTTGCATCTAGCAGAGCTATAAACTATAGGCTGATCACTAGTAAAATAAGTTAATATTAATAGAAATATTGTTTGCCCTGGGCCTGCAGTAGTTGCCCTGTATAGAGGACATTCCATGACTTGATCAGCAGTCCTATACATTATGCAATTTACATCAGTTCTGAGAATCAACTTTCAAGCATTTCCTACACGTGACCTGTTCAGGCCTGCAAGGTGGATGGTTACCCATGGCAGAGCCAAGAGGTGGTATGCAGAAGGTGTAAGTCTTGACCACATAACTAGGAGCAGGTAGGAGGAGGTCAGGACAGCTACTTTTCCTTTTCACAGCACATTGATTAAGCACAAAGTTCCTTGGAGACAGAGAAAGTGTTTATTTCTAACTGCCTCAGATTAATTTAATCTGTGAAGGAGTCTGGCTGGAATCTGACCGTGTATGCTTGACTGAATGTGTAGAAACTTGAGGTGGAAAGGCTTCAACCCACCCTTGACTCTACAGCCACCTTCCAGATGGGGAATCAAAGAGGTCAAAACCTTTGTCATGTATAACTGTCACTGCTGCAGAAATATCTGGATGGGTGGACTGTTTGGCTTCTCAGCTGCTGATGAGTTACCAATCAGTAGCCAAGTGTGGTATGAATTTAAGTCACCACCCAATTTCACTTTCTATTTCTATTTTAAATATTTCTATTTTGATCTTCAGTGGTTGAGGAAAAGGATAACTGTATCCATTGTCACTTCTACAACAGCATGGTTTAAAAACAATAACAACAACGCTAATGAAAATAAAAAAGAACAGCATAAACTCTTTTGTTGCCTTTTGTGTTTCTTCCTGAAATTTAAGTGTAATGAAGGCAGTGCATGTGCTGATGCTGCCCTGCCAGCTGTTGCTGAAGGGGCTTTTGCACTGACAGGTTTATGTGACAGGAGTAATGCACTGAGGTGTGCACTCTGCTGAATATGTGATTTGTAATTTAAATGGTAGAAAAAGCATGGAGAAATACGAACCCTGAGGAAGCAAAGTTTTGAGAATGTATGTTGAGGGATTTTTGAAACAGCAAAGATCCCATGGCTTGCTGCAGCTGAGCAAAGCAAGCTACCAGGATGACTATGAGAAGTTCCCATGACAGTATTCCCACATTGCCCAACTGAGGAATTTAGAAAAATATTGTTGCCAGTAGTTGGCTTCAAGGACAAGGTCTACATGACTGCTAATCACAAGGGGGTTGTTTTCTTGCAGGTGGGGTTGTTTTCTTGTAGTTTTTTGTCTGAGTGCTTTTGACCAATAATTTTGTGTGAGACACTATCCGCCCCTGTTAAGTTCACTATAAAAGTCAGGCTGTTCGGGTAATAAAATGGAGCATGATCTGACCATACTGGTGTTTGTCGTGCTTTCGGCCGTTCTTCCTGCAACAAATATAATGTCCAATTTGGATAGCTTTGCGTTAGAAGGAAGCACTTAAAGAGAAGTTAAATCCTTGCCTTTCCTTCCTTGTAGAGATACACCGAGACCAGATGTGAGCTGGATGAGAAAAAAAAATCAATATTCTCATGCAGTTTTCATATGTTGTATCTTTTCTTTCTATCCTGCCCTATTTCAACCAATTTTACATAGAAAAGGTTTCATAAATGTGTGATGCAAGTTAAATTCTCAATGCTCAGCTCTTTGCTTGGTACCCTCTGTCTTCTGTCTAATTCAGCAGAGAAAATGCAGTCTGCAACACAGATGGAACACGAATTTCAATTACACATAATTACCTTTTTCTTCTCTTCCTGCTTTCCTTTATATTTTCACCATGTCTAAAAGCTGCTTTTGTAAAACTGTCATGTCACCCTGGAGAAAAAGGCTAAAAATTGAGGATTTTCTGTGTGTGATGGATCTCAAAGATCAATCAGAGAGAATTATAGCCAAGATAGGCTATAAGATATCTTAAGGATGTGATCAGGAAAAAAAAAAAAAAAAAAAAGAAGTCTCTTGGCTATGGCTAGTGGTAGAAAATAAATTGCTATTTTTAGCATCACAGTCTGTCTCAGAAATTTTATTTCATCCAGCTGTGCTTTACACAGAATACTACTGTTGATGACACTACAGGAGAGACAATAAACCTGTGCCCCACAGCTGTGTTGTACTATAGAAATATGTGGCATGCCAACAAGTGTTAGTGGGAAGAGAAAACCTGAGCTTTATCTTAAAAGAATCTTCATGTTTCTTAACTCAGAAAGAGTTGTATTGTCTTTCCATTCTCCAGAACCCAAGAGAGTTACTCATTCAGTATTTTAATGAAGAAAATAAGTTGTATACTGTATTTGTGAGAATCCTATTCACTGTGAGTTTTTATTTTAAAAAGAAAAGTTTAAAGTTAATGGTAATGTAATTTTATGTAATGGTTATTTTAATGAAAAAAAAATATATCTGAACTACAATAGTGCAATATATATATATGCACATATATTTGTAGGGAATGTAGTCTTACCTTTCTCCTGTTTGATCAGTGAGGAGTGAAATACCAGCAAAACATATGGCTAGCTTCACCTTGGGATTTTTTCTATTATCACAATTTGTTATATTTTACAGTAATGTATGTGAGGAGAGGTGAGAATTTAATGACTAACCACCTTCTAGCCTGTACAATTGGCTCAGGATTCTGTAGTTTCAAGCTCTAGGGTATAAGAATACTATCTGAATCTTCCGTATCTAAATTGGTGGTTGGCTGCAGAATTTTTCAAGTTTTTATGACAGCTTCCTAAGATCTCAAGCGTCTGTCTAGATGTGAAAATAAATCAGACTATGTTTAATGTTTGCATTTAGAAATTTCTAATCCTGAGTTTAAAAAGAAGAGCCCAATATAAAAATAAAAATAAAGAAAGAAAAGAATCTGTTTCTGCAGATAACTGTTCATTTGAATAATTTAGTTTAAAAACTGTGTTGTGTTTTTGTTTTTTAGAAATGTGCTGAATATTTCTGCATAACTTTACTTACTATAACAAAATAAAAAAATTAAAATGTATGATATTTCAGTTGAGCTGAAATAATCAAAAATTAGAAAAGCTGAAATAAGCTAATTGAGCTGTCCATATTTTCCTCAAAAAGTCCAGGTCGGATGGGGCTGACCCAGGAGATGCCCCTGCCCATGTCAGAGAGGGTGAACTAGATGGTCTTTAAGGTCCCTTCCAAGCCAAACCATTCTGTGAAATGCTGTTCTGTTTTACTAGGGTGTAGTCTTCTTCCTAGTGCTAAAAGTCTAAGCACCAATGATAACATTTTTTGTTGTGTAGTGATTTTTGTTGTTGTTGTATGTGATAAAGCCTGATATGTTAAAATTAGATGATTTTTGTTTGTTTGCTTGTTTACTTGGTAATTGTGCAAATTTTTTTTTTCTTTTTTTTTTTTTCTTTATCGAACTGGGAAGGTATGAGAGCAAGTGTATATGGATGTATATTGTAGTATGTAAGTCAGTCTGTGTATCAGTAACATGAACCATGAGAGGAGAATGCCTGCTGGACCTCAGGATGGCTCTGGCATCTCCCTTTTGGGGTTTAAAACTTCTCAGAGCAAGAACAAAAGATGTCATATGAGTATGGGTACGTTTATGCAATATCGATAAACAAGTGTTGATTTTAGCTAAACTGATTTCAGATGTAGGATGTAATGAGTGACAGGAGGCATCACCTAGATGGGGTCTTGCTGAGTTTGGAGTGTGTAATTACTTTTCTGGTTGGATTACATGGAGTAAATTACATATGCTACCCTGTAACCGAGTTGGAAATACTATCTTATATTACCTTTGTCTGCTTTGGAAGATTAAGAAAAGCTTCTCGAATGAAGCTCAGCTGAAATTTAAAACTTACAGGATTATGAGCTCAGGTCAATTTTGCACCAAAACCAACTATCAAGTCTGGACTAAACTAGGAGTTAATTTGGTGGGTTGAAATGGCTCCATGTAGGGCAGTGGAAGATAAGAAACCTTCCTGTAGCTCCGAAGTGGAATGAAATAGCTGTGAAAACAGAACTTTTTCTCTCCTATTTCTAAAGATGCTCAACATAATTAGAAATATCTCAATAAAAAAAGTTTTTATTGTTTTCACTGTTGAATTCATTTTAAAATTAAAATATTAGTAGACTTCAAGTGAATGGGTTGCTGAGCTAATTTCCATAACATAATACGAGTAGTAACAGGAAAAATTTCTCATTAGGTTGGCTTGTGAGAGGCATTTTAATGAGGTGTACTAGGTTAAGACACATGCTTACATGTTTGTCTTGGGTAAGAGAGAGATTCTGTGAAAATGTGAATAAGAGAAACTAACATATTTTCCTCTAAATGGCAAATTTATTTCTTAATCTGGATTTAATTAGGCTCATAAAGAAACATTGGCACCAAACTTCACTCTTTACCCAGGTAATATAAATTCCTTGTATGAGAGAAAATGAATGGACTACTCATGCCTCTTGTACTTGAGGTTAAAAAAAAACAATTTGTAGTTCCAGTAAATAATATACTGAAGATCTTTCACACAATGCTAATTCCTTTTTTTTTTTTTTTTTTTTTTTTTTAATTTCTATTACTTTGTTCACTATATATTTGAATAATTTCATTGTGCAATGTGTATAGATGATGTAAGGGCAGTAATGGGTTTTTAGTTTCCCGATAAACCTCTGCATCTCTCTGAAACCAGCAGAGATGCATTAAAATGGCTAGGTAATTTCTACTTGTTGGTAATTTTCACTGTGTGGTTTACTAGTTCAGCACAGCATAACATGTGAAATATGTTGCTGTACTATAATCTAACTTCCTGAGGGACATGCTGGTCTCACCCTGCTTATTTGCTAATTTACAGACTCCAGTAGAATAAAAGACCAGTATAAATGTCTGCTATATTTAACAGACTGCAGGCATGCATGTTTTAAGAAGAAAATATTGGGGATCTTTTAACTTGCAATGTTCAGCAGTATGATCTAAAATGTTTTCCCTCTTCCCAAGGTTGTCTCAGTCTAAGTTCCATTACTATTTTATATGTTTAAATAGTGAATATCAAAACACATCCCAAAATTCTTACCAGATAAAAAAAAATTAACACTACGAATATAATTCTTAGCAGAAAATAGTAAATGGAAGGATATTCTGTGAATCCATAACTGTTCTAGCTCAATTCAATGTCAAAGGTTAGAACTCCAGGTGAATTTGCTCATGAGGTCACTGTGCAGCAAAACAAATACAAGAAACACATCAATGTTACATACTTTTCATAGATAACAGTGTACATTGATATTGGTGGAATACACACTGTATACCCAAACAAACTGAAATTTAAATCATATCCTTGAGAAGCATCCAATAATCAAGTATGTGGCAGCACTACAGAAAATGAGATGCAATGCAATTCAAATACAGTATAACTTAATCAAGACAAACATAACTGAAATTGCAATTTAAAATTAAATATGGAGTGATGATCAGGATACTAATATTGACTGAAAAAAGGCCAGAAATGTAGAATACCAATGTACATAAATCCTGCAGTGATTGCAAGTTATGATTAATTAGGGAAGATTACCTTCCATGTTTCCTGGATACAGAGAAGGGAAAGATAGAGTTTAAGACTGTAAGTGCTGTACTTGCAAATTGGAAAAGGCATGTTCATTCATACGTTGTATGCTAGTGCATCAGAGGAAGGTGTCAGTGTTTGTTCAGTAACAGTTAGTTGTCCTCTGGTCCATCTTGGAATCTTGGAAACCTAGGGAATATTCATGCCCTCAACCTACAAAAGAGCTATTTTAAGACAAAGGAATGTAAATTGTGTGTAATTACTAATACATACTTTGTGCTCAATTGCATACAGGGCACAAAAATTAGTGGAAAACATTTTTGCCCAAATTATGGAGCAAATTCTTTCTTTATTTTAGAACATTATTCATGTTCTACTTACTCTGTTCTCTAAAAACATCAGGGAAGCTACATGTTTTTATTAAGCCTGCAGTCCAGCCGAGCAAGGAGGTCAGTGAGTTGTAGTGATTGATTGTATTTGCCTTTTTTTTCTAAGGGTATAGGTTAGTGCTCCTTCTGGCTTTGTTTTTAAGTGAAGACTGATGCAGCATATGTTGTCTCATTCCCCTCTTCAGCCCAAGGTAGTGGGAGGAGGGGGAAGGAGTCTGGAAGTATGTACTCAAATTATTCAATGTGCTATCTTGTTTCACAGGGGGATATGGTTCTTGTGAACTAGACTTCTGTCAGGGAAACAAGATAGGAAGCTCCACTGTCTACAGGACGTCTACAAGATGACAGAAAAAAAATTTCTTTTGGTGAGATAAACTATTTTTTATATTTTTTAACAGGATTAGAATTTTCTCAAAGCAAGCTTCACTTTTGCAGAAATCACATTTTCTGTCAGAAAATTTAAATCGCTTGAAGATGCAAGATTTCTGTAGGATAAAAAGTTGTGTAAGGTATTATTATTTTGTTTGATCCATTTGGTAGCTCTAGTTGATAGTGAAGTGCCCTGCACTTTTTCAGAAGTGCTGGTAATTCTCCAGAGAAGTGTGTCATAAACCTTGTTGGCATTTATAACCTCACAATTAAATTAAGTATGTAGCATCACAGTTGTTTCTTACAGAAAGAAGCAGAGATCTGGCAGGAGTCCGCATAGCTGTAATGATGATTCCCTTTATTGTTCAAAGCACAGCCAGGAACAAGATTAGACTCATTATAAGTGTAGCATGTTGTAAATGAAGGCACTTATCATTACTGTATTGGGATCCAATATTACTCTTTGCAGTCAACGGCAGAAGTCCCCTTAAATACAATGGGATTAGAATCATGTCCAATGTCTTCAATCATTGCTGAAAAAAGGAAAGCAAAAGGCAAAATATCTATCAGTTCTTGAAATAAAACCATCTATTTTGTTGCATTTTTTTTTCCAGTGTTTTGGTGCATGTATTTATTACTGCTTCTGAGATTTAAATGGGCTGTTATGATAGTTGTGCTTCATTGATTTGCCATTATTTAACTTAGAGGGGGCTAAATTCTCCCTCTTAAAATCTTCTCTTTTCTGCTCTGTGTTATGTGAAGAAGAGTTAGTACTTCTGTACTTGGGATTGGTTTCCCATTTAATTACCCTCTGCTTTTGCTCTCTTATTTGAGCTTTGCTAGCCTGGGAGGCCTGAACATGCTGCTTGTTGTATGGGAAGAAAACAGATCACAGAATCATAGAATATCCTGAGCTGGAATGGTCTCACTAGGATCAGTGAGTCCAACTCCTGGCTCCATGCAGGAGCACCCCAAAATCATACCATACATCTGAGAGCACTGTCCAAATGCTTCTTGAACTCTGTCAGGCTTGGTGCCATTACCGCTTCCCTTGGGACCCTGTCCCAGTGCCTGACCACCCTCTGGATGAAGAACCTTGTCTCTGTTCATATGCAGGTATGAAAGGGAACAGTGGAGTGATATTTGAGGACTGTGATATTTTGCCCAAGTAGTGTTGTCTTCATCCTCTCTGCAGAACAAGCACTCCAAGGTAAAGAAATTTCAAGCTTTAATTCACGTTCCAAAATATTTCATATTTCAGCCAGCTTGGACTGAAAGCATGAATACACAGGAGTGAGGATGGGTATTTGGTAGGAAACAGTACCTCTGAGGTTCTAACGTTGAACTTCTTGAAGGTGGCTCCTTAGTGACTGGAAGGATGACTCTTAAAGAGGTGGGCATAGATCAGCTCTGAAGGTCTACCACTTGATATGTGCTATGAGGAATAAAACAAACTAAGAAAATGTTGCTGGAAAGATGCAAGTTTCAGTAAAGTGAAAACATCGCAGAAAAGTGTAGAATTAAACAAACACCACTTCCCTTGGTACCAATACGAAAGAGAATTGGAAAGGAGCCCTTTTTGATGACAACAGTTGTTTCCGAAGCACATGATGTTTTTCTTGTAATTTCCAGTTAGCTCAGCAGGCGTGAACTATGAGCCTATTAGGAAGTGTACTGCAAGTCTATGGAGGATGGCACAGCAATAAGAACTCAGAATTCCTCATGGTGTCAGTGAACAGTGCTGCAGGCAAAGCTGAGCTTATTGTTAGCCTGGGAGCAGATGGAAGTTGTTTGCTGAATTTTATCTTATACACTACTGTGTAAGCCATAATACATTGCGTACTGATTTCATTAGCACTGGACAGAAAGTTGAAGAGAACATGACCCCACAAGAGAACGATGTGCCCATTTTTTCCCTGATCTTTCTTTTTCTATTTATGTACTTGCAGAACCATCTTTTGTTACCATTCACATCCCTTGCCAGATTCAACTCCAGGTCAGCCTTGACTTTTCCAACCCTGTGCCTGCAAGACAGAACAGCAACTCTGTACTTCTCTTGGGTCACCTGCCCTTGCTTCTACCTCTGGTGTTTTTCCTTTATGTTGAATTCATTAGAAATGATCATCCATGCTGATCTCCTGCTGCTTTTTCTTGAATTTCTGCTTGTCAGGATGGATCTTTCTTGAACTTGGAGAAGCTGATCTTTGGATATCAGCCAGCTCTCCTAGACCACTCTTTACTCCAGAGCCATATCCTATGGGATTCTTCCAAGCAGATCTTTAAAGAGGTTGAAGTCTGTCCCCCTGAAATCCAGGTCTGGGTCCTGGTTTTTGTCCTGTTACCTTATCTTGGGATCCTGAACTCCACCATCTCACGGTCTTTACATTTAAGACTGCCTCTGACTTTCATGTCTTGGACCAGTTCTTTCTTGTTTGTAACTATCAGGTCCAGCAAAACACCTTCCCCTGTTGGCTTCTTAATTACTAGTGCCAGGAAGCTGTTGTCAATGAATTTAAGAAATTTTCTGGAGCACCTGAGCCCTGCAGTATCATCATTTTAGCAAGTATCAGGGTGGTTAAAGTCTTTCATGAGGACCAGGGCCTGTGAACACAAGGCTTCTTCCAGCTTTTGGAAGAAGACCTCCTCATCCTTCTGATCAGGAAGTCTATAGAAGATACTAACTACAACAACACCCATGTGTGTCTGCCTGTTAATCTTGATTCACACACTCTTGACTGATGTCTGATCCATCCCAAGGCAAAACTACATGCAGCTGCTCTCTGCACATAAAGCTCTGCTCTCTCACATCAAGCAAAACTCCCCCTCCTTGCTGTTCATCCAAATCCACGTAGCCTGTTCATCCACAAAAACTTTATTGTTGCTTTTCTTGCCAGTTTTGTTGCCTTGCTTCCACCTCTTGTATGCTCCCTTCTGTGTTACAGTACATCAAGAAGTATCTGTCCTAGGCAAATAGGCCTTCTGCTGAAATTCCTGGTCTCCGTGCATGACAGGATGGATTGTTTTTGGATTTCAGATTTTTTTTTTCTTTAAAAATCCTTTTCACTTTATGACAGCTTGCTGGGGAATCTTACCTAGCAATTACTCATACAAGCCAAATTTTACTGTCCTGAAGTCCAGAGTTTTAACTCTGCTGCTCACTTTTCCAGCTGTCCTCCAGATCCTGAATCTGTCATCTTGTGGTCACTGCAAACCAAGCGTGCTGTGAAGGCTTGCATCCAGGATGTTTCGACAAAAGGCAGCTTGAGAAAAAATCTTCCCCCTGTGATTTCTCGTGAGCTGAATAATTCAAATGTTAAGCTACTTACATGATGATCTAACATCGTAGTTCATGAGTTTATAACACTGATGCAAATTTTCTGTGGAAAACTTGCTTTTGGCTTTTGCAGGGACTCAGTTTGCCGTTAGATGAATGCATCAACACTAAATCCTCAGAACAGAATCCAGGATATTTTTAGAGTGTTAATAAAGGACCTTGTTTTATTTTTATCTTACTAATAGCATAACCAATTGGATAACTAATTGAGTTGGCCAATTTAATGTGATTAATCTGATTAAAACCCTACAAATCCAGTGTCATTGCCAGCTTCATAGGAATCCACTTTTCAAAACATTTTATAGTATGCGTAGGCATTTCAGGAGAGAGAAAAACAAGCAAGACCAATAATAACTCATCAGTCAGTTTGAAGGCATGTGAGTACCCCTGAATACTGACTAGGATACGGAAGCACAGTGTCTCTTTTCTGAAAAATAAGTAACTAGGGAGTACATATGAAAGGTAATTATTTGGAAGACTGAGTAGCTTCATGCAGAAAGTTGGCATCAATATACCAAAAACCTAGGAAAGTGTTTTCTTGCAAGCGAGATTAAAGATAAAGCAAGACCAAAAATCCATTTTCTTTAATTAAAGAATCAGCTTAATCAGCTTAAGGTGAAAAATCTCTCTCTGATAATGAAGCCTCAGAAGGGTTTCACTTCACTCAAGTCCAAGATGACCACTATTCTCATCCTTTCCTGTGGGTTAACACACATTGGAATAGATAGCTAGAAAGCAGAGAAAATTGTTCCAGTTTGAAAAGTAGCTAGTTAGGTAGAAGGAAAAAATTTTCCAGTTTAAAAATTAACCTTGTCAATACTATGTTTTTTTTGTTTGTTTGATGATTTTTTTTTTTTTAATGTAAATAAGTTCCTTGATCCTACCACCACGAGGGCTACCCAAATACTAATGATAAGGCAGGAAAAGGCAGCTTGCAGTGAAGGGGGAACGCAAAGCAGCTCAGAGTGGCCATGAAGCTATAGCCTAGAGCAGTTTTAAAGCCTCAAAAAAGAGGCAAGGAATATATAGGGACTTGTGAAAGTTTTTAGAGCATGCTTACTGTTCTCAGCTGAAGGCAAATATCATTGAAGTTTTTGATTGTTAGTCATAGGAGACCAGGAGTAACCAGGACAAGTCTGCAGTTTGGGGCCATGCTTGGAGATACGTCAGAGGCCAGTCATGTTAGCTCTGTAAAGCCTTCTACAGTGTCCAGGCCAGAGTGACGGAAGAAGCTCAGATCTGATGCCCATCTACAAGAAGGGCCAGAGAGCAGACCCAGGAAACTACAGGCCTGTCAGTTTGACCTCAGTACCAGGGAAGCTCATGGAGCAGATCCTCTTGAGAGTCATCATGTGGCACTTGCAGGGCAAGCAGGCGATCAGGCCCAGTCAGCATGGGTTTATGGAAGGCAGATCCTGCTTGACGAACCTGATCTCCTATGACAAAGTGACGCGCTGGGTGGACGAGGGAAAGGCTGTGGATGTGGTCTACCTTGACTTCAGCAAGGCTTTTGACACCGTCTCCCACAGCATTCTCCTCAAGAAACTGGCTGCTCTTGGCTTGGACTTGCGCACGCTTTGTTGGGTTAGAAACTGGCTGGATAGCCGGGCCCAAAGAGTTGTGGTAAATGGAGTCAAGTCCAGTTGGAGGCCAGTCACTAGT